TAAATCTACCGCTTATTCAGAAAGCTGTCTCATCACAAGAAGAATAAGCAAGAAACTTGTGTGTTGCTCTTTTAAACAATCCTTGTAAGTTCACATTTTACAAGTCGAAACGTGTGAATACAAACTACCAACCAGTACTAATTTATTTAGGCTCAAATATAAAAACACAATAAGATTAAATCAGTCGTAGTGATAAGAGCAGACCAGTCCCTACACAGCAGCACTCGTTCAGGAGTATGACGGATGAGCCAGCCATCACTGCGCTCGACCATATTTTAGGGAGCCCAATGACCGAGTCATTGGGGCTCCCTAAAATATGGTCGAGCGCCCACCACTATGTATTTACTATACCATCTCTAATTAGTACTGTGTCTAAATGTGCAATAATATGTAATATTCCGATAGATTAGAATATTATATATTCTATAAGAGAGGTCCGCTGTTAGAGGAGTTAAATTAGTTTGAATAATTAAAAATCCAAGGTAAATTATTCCACGCGGACGATATGCGGGCACAGCTAGTAACAAATATATACAATGCATTACCTGAGGAATTAAAGAGAATTAATATAGCAAAAATTAAGAGCAAGTTAAAATCTTGTTCTTAAGTTGAACGTTTCATGAACGTTTTTATTAAATACGGGTATAATAGTATACATATAACTATATATATATAACTCAAAGGTGACTGACATAGTGATCTATCAACGCACAGCCCAAACCACTGGACGGATCAGGCTGAAATTTCGTATGCAGGTAGATGTCATGACGTTGGCATCCGCTAATAAAGGATTTTGATTAATTCTACCCCCAAGGGTATAAAATAGGGGATGAAAGTTTGTATGAAACTTTGTCAATTTTAAACCGATCGGGCTGACACTTTGCATGCATTAAAGCTACTATGACGTAGGCATCCCCTTAGGGGTGGAAAAATCCTTTCCTATGGGATGTCTAGGTCATAGTAGCTTTATGCAACTTTAGGCTCTAATTTTTTACACACACACAAAACAAAAGTAAAGCCGCAAAAACTACACCTAATTAATAATAATAGTTACTACTACGCGAGCGAAGCCGCAGACAAAAGCTAGTAATACATAGTACAGTGTCTTAATATCATAATTTTAAATGATTATATATGACTGTATGATCTGATTATTGATATAGTACATATATAATTTGTTTGACATGTTAAGGTGCAGTTTGTGACAACTGCTAGTGTAAATTACTAAATAATGTGAGGTAACAAACATAAAAAAATGTATATCTTTGTTTGAAGTTTATTGTAAAGTATTTCCAACATAATTAAATGAGACAACAACAGTATGAATTTAATATTGCATCCATCAAAAATATTCCCATGAGAAATATTGTTGCCTTGAGAATAAAGATACACAGATTTCAATTTAGATACAGCTGAACTTGTGTGAGCGAATGTTATTTTAAATTATCAGATTAACAAATGATGAGTTGCAACAATTTGTTCTAGACAACGCATGAGTTTCACATGATAACGTAATAAGGCACTGCTCATATCTACAGGCAACAGTTACCCCATAATAAGTAGTAGTCTAGGTCCTTCGAGCCGGATACTTATCCGGTTCGAAGGACCAATGTACGAACCAATGATTAAAAACTAGAAGGATTTGGGGGTATGAGCCGTGATAATAATAGTGATTGATTGATTGATGAGGAGATTGAGAGGAGAGGGAAGTTTTACAAATGTCACCAACAGAGGGAAGGGGAGGAATATGTCACAAGTACTAGAAATATGTTTTTTATGCTTGATAGTGTTAGATATATCAACTCTATATACTAGTAACACTATGTATTATAATAAAATAACAACTATATAACATTAATTTAACTGTCTCTAACACAATTCACTTTAGCAATTAAAATACAACCACATCCTGTGCTGAAAGACTGAATGCCGCGGCCTACAAAAACCCTCCCTTTTATACAGGGAAGATACGAGTAATAATGAAACAACCTTCTTTTAATATAAAATATCAGATTTTTCGACAATATCGATGTGAACCCTAACAATAGCTTATTTTAATATGTAGAAATAAATCTTTACAATGACAGTCTCCCATGCCGGAGGGATGGCAAGGGAACCCTCCTTGCCATTGCCAAGTGCTATGGTATGGGATTCTTGCACTTGAGTAATGGGGGAAGGGGATTATTAGCAATGGGAACTAGTAATTCCCATTGCTAGCAATGTATTTTATGTTAGGTCGACCTCCACGCGGTTCCCATGCCGGAAACCATCGTGATGAATTCTTGGTGAATTTGTCACGATGGGCTAACTGACCTGACCTCATGCTCATCTTATCATCCTCCACTGGTGCCCCGCCAGCGTAAACCGTTAGCGCAGGTGGGTGCACCATTCCATTATCATACACAAAAAAAAACCGCTCACGTTAAAGTCGGGACCATATTCTATATCGAGTCCAGGAAAATCAGCCTTATTTATAAGCCTTATATGATTAAAAAAAACTGCATATCTATTCATCAGAATGCGTTGTAGCTCCGACAACATTCTGAACACATTATGAAAAAAACGATTTGCCTATAATACAATATTGTGTGAGTGTACTTGTTAGATAGAGGTCTAACAATTTGTAACGACTGTAACTGTTATACTAGAGTTAAGAACTTTAGTAACAATAGATTAAGAAAAAAACTAATGATGCCAAAATTAAGATCTTATTATTATTATTATTATTATTATATAAGACACAATAACCACGTCCGTCATACTCGTGAACGGATGCTGTTTACTGTACGAATTACGCACACTGATTGATTTATTTCCTCTTGAAATGCAATAATATATACTGGTGATCACTACATTCTCCCTAATTGCAACTATATTTATATACAAGCTCATCTGAATAGAAGAGCTGAGTTTCTTGTCAGTTCTTCTTGCCTCGAAAGCATTCTGAACTGACGGTAGATTTGACATATTCAAAATCAAAATAGTTCAAAATCAAAGTAGTAATTCCAAATATCTTTATTCATGTAGGTCTATTACAGACTCTTATGCTATGTCAAATGTACTGTCAGTTCGGAATGATTTCGAGATGAGAAGAACTGACAAGAAACTCAGCTCGTATTTTTGACATATCGTGTAGGTACGTAACAGAGCTATGTGTATAAAGATATTGTGTATATACCTGATCCCATATTAATAGTTTATGAGTTTCATTGACTAATACAGATAGTATAGTAATTCCCAAAGTGCTCTATATCGACCCTGAGGGGTCTATGACAAACTGCAAAGGGTCTACGACAGCTGTCATCTTGTTTTAACTTTATGTTTTTAACACTAAACTTTACTATAGTTAGAAATTTACAAACAATACTAGGTAAGAATGGGGGGTCTACCCAATACTGAATGGCAGCAAAAAGTTTGGGAACATCTGAGTTATATCACTGATTCATCCAAACGCGTCAAAATTATGTATCGGCTAAATAATCAGATATGTAAAATACAAACAATCAATACCAGGTAAGAAAGAGGAGTCTGGCAAAACATATGGCAAGGGGTGTACGACACAAAAACGTTTGAGAACCTTTAAGTTAGTATATCACACAAAAAAGTTTGGGAACCTCTGAGTTAGTGTATCACTGGTTCATCCAAACGCGATAAAATTACGTATCGCCTAAATCATTAGATATGTAGATAACTAGACATCTCGAATCACGGATGTGAACCTAGGACCTCACGTGTCGCTGAGTCAAGGTCGCTTAAATACCACACCGATCACATTCTCAGTATTTTAGCCACGTCAAATATAATGTGATTAATTCTTGAGATGTATATACATATAAATAAAATAGGAGTGTCTGTTTGTAATATTGAAATAACAGTTTTTACTACATGCATATGAATATAAATACGGTACATACACCAAAATAACATTTTTTACAATTTTTGTCTGTCTGTCTATTTGTTCCGACTAATCTCTAAAATGGCTGGACCGATTTTGACGGGACTTTTTTTGGCAGGTAGCTGATGTAATAAGCAGTTACTTAGGCTGCTTTCGCGGACGAAGTCACGGATAGAGACTAGTTTTCTCTCTCTTCCTCATAATGAAATGGTTGGACCGATTTTAAAGCGATTAGACTCGTAAATAGCTAATGTTATAAAGGGTAACTTAGACTACGTTTGTTTTAGAAATTTTTAATTACAAAAAAAAAAAATCACGCGTAGAAAGTCGCGGATATAAACTAGTTGTTTCTCTCTTCCTAGTTATATATCCCATATGGTATATACCCCTGATTAGCAAGAACAAACAGACAAACAAAAAACTTTAAATTATTTTTTAATGTAAGTATCCATATGCATTTATAAAACTATAAATGTGAAATTACAAAAACAGACTTCAATTTTATTTATTTGTATAGATTTATTAATAAAATAAATAGTTAATTACATATATGTAATTTATCTTTATATATATATAATAATAATAATAATAATCTCAAGACAATTCACACAGCGCCGTCTAGACCCAAGTTAAGCTAGCTAAAGCTTGTGTTATGGGTACTAGATAACTGATACAAATACATAGATTTTTTTTTTCGTAAATACATAAATATTATATATAGAAAACACCCAGACCGACACAAACAATCATACTCATGAATACAAATGTTTGTGCCGTGCGAGGAATCGAACCCGCGACCATCGGACGTAAAGCGGTGTACTAAACCACTAGACCACCGAGGTCGTCAAATAAATATATATATATATAGTAATTTAAATAGAAATGTATACACGAAATTGCAATATCAACTTGTTCATAACAATATAATTTAATACTTAAAACTGAACTATTCGTAGCCATAATCATCTGCATCTACCATAGATCAGTACAAGAAAACAAAAAAAAACTTACCATTACCATAACGTTTACACATGTATATGTAGATTTCTAAATTACAATATTGTTATTAAGATTATGAGGTATATATATCGATAAAATCACTCACTTTTGCGCCGATTCCGCCACGAGACGCCCTTTCGTTCAACAGTACAACACTGACTGAAGGTAATCCACCGTGTGAACGAACAACATTGAATGAACTGTGCATTCGAAAATGGCCTCCATGACGTCATATTATAGGGCTGTGCTCTCTATAATGTAGATATTGCATCAATTGAACGGCCTCACTGGTTTAGTGGTTTACACGCCTTACTTCCGATGGTAGCGGGTTCGATTCCTCGCACGGTAAATATATTTGTATTTGTGAGTATGATTGTTTGTATCGGTATGGGTGTTACTTCCGATGGTCGCGGGTTCGATTCCTCGCACGGCACACTTATACTTTGACAGACCTTGGTAGTTTAGCGGTTCAGTACAGCTTACTTCCGATGGTCGCGGGTTCGATTCCTCGCACGGTAAATATATTTGTATTTGTGAGTATAATTATTTGTATCGGTCTGGGTGTTACTTCCGATGGTCGCGGGTTCGATACCTCGCACGGCAAATATATTTGTATTCAGTACCTTGGTAGTTGTATTGGTTCAGTACAGTTACTTCCGATGGTCGCGGGTTCGATTCCTTGCACGGTAAATATATTTGTATTTGTGAGTATGATTGTTTGTATCGGTCTGGGTGTTAATTCCGATGGTCACGGGTTCGATTCCTCGCACGGCACAAGCATTTGTATTCATGAGTATGATTGTGTGTATTGGTATGGGTGTTACTTCCGATGGTCGCGGGTTCGATTCCTCGCGCTGCAAATATATTTGTATTTGTGAGTATGATTGTTTGTATCGGTCTGGGTGTTACTTCCGATGGTCGCGGGTTCGATACCTCGCACGGCAAATATATTTGTATTCTTGAGTACGATTGTTTGTATTGGTATGGGTGTTACTTCCGATGGTCACGGGTTCGATTCCTCGCACGGTAAATATATTTGTATTTGTGAGTATGATTGTTTGTATCGGTATGGGTATTACTTCCGATGGTCACGGATTCGATTCCTCGCACTGCAAATATATTTGTATTTGTGAGTATGATTGTTTGTATCGGTATGGGTGTTACTTCCGATGGTCGCATGTTCGATTCCTCGCACGGTAAATATATTTGTATTTGTGAGTATGATTGTGTGTATCGGTCTGGGTGTTACTTCCGATGGTCGCGGGTTCGATTCCTCGCACTGCAAATATATTTGTATTTGTGAGTATGATTGTTTGTATCGGTCTGGGTGTTACTTCCGATGGTCGCCTGTTCGATTCCTTGCACGGTAAATATATTTGTATTTGTGAGTATAATTATTTGTATCGGTCTGGGTGTTACTTCCGATGGTCACGGATTCGATTCCTCGCACTGCAAAAATATTTGTATTCTTGAGTACGATTGTGTGTATTGGTATGGGTGTTACTTCCGATGGTCACGGATTCGATTCCTCGCACTGCAAATATATTTGTATTTGTGAGTATGATTGTTTGTATCGGTATGGGTGTTACTTCCGATGGTCGCATGTTCGATTCCTCGCACGGTAAATATATTTGTATTTGTGAGTATGATTGTTTGTAACGGTCTGGGTGTTACTTTTGAATAGTCCGATGGTCGCGGGTTCGATTCCTCGCACTGCAAATATATTTGTATTTGTGAGTATGATTGTTTGTATCGGTCTGGGTGTTACTTCCGATGGTCGCGGGTTCGATTCCTCGCACGGCAAATATATTTGTATTCGCGAGTACGATTGTTTGTATCGGTCTGGATGTTTTAAATATATATTTTGTATATAGTAGCTGTGCCCGATCTTTCAGCCGCATGAAATTTGTATCCGATATGTTACTCTGTTGTATCAGCTATATTACTGTAAAGTTTCATCAAAATATGTTTAGTAGTTTTTGCGTGAAAGAGTAAAAAACATCCATACATACAAACTTTCATATTTATGATATTGTTAAGGATTAAGATTTACGAAATATAATATAAAATAATATATATCTATGTATATGTATGTATCCAATCCAATGTATCTAGTACCCATAACACAAGCTTTAGCTAGCTTAACTTGGGTCTAGATGGCGCTGTGTGAATTGTCCTTAGATTATTATTATTATCATCAATAGAACTTAAGCATATTAATCACTTTATCTCATCAGAAGTGTTGTTAACTGTCGACATCGTAGTAAATGTTTTGACTCTATGTCCTTCCAGCAATTGTATTTCTCTTGGTATTATGATGTTCATGAGCGCGGAAATCACTTACCATCAGAAGAGCCGCAAGCTCGTCTGCCTCCCCTCCCCTATAAAATATATATAAATTGATTTGAGTATTTTCGATCGAATCGAAATTCAAATCCACAACCATGAGGTCTGTAAGCAGGGGTACTGGACTAAGGCACCCTGACGATCTTCAGAACAAAAAAGCAACCTGACATTGAGGGTGACGCAGTTGGAATCGAGCCACAACGCGAGCTTCAAAGCGTTCGTGGCCCGGGTCCCCACCAACATGCTGCCCACCTTCATGAAGGAGGACTACTGGCCGAAGGGAGTGGTGTATCGGCGCTACCGTGGCAGATTGCCGTCGTCAGTGCCGTGACCATAGAGACAATTTTATTTACATATTTCATTATTATATCTTATGTATGTTAGTCTATAAGGTATTTATAATATGGGCCATGTAGCCTGAATTAAATAAATAAATAAATAAAAAACAACCGAGAAATAACAAGAGGTAAAATAAAATTTGCGTTTTTTTTTTATGAGTGATAATGTAATGGTGCTAACGGATTACGCTGCAATCAGTGGATCATCACCTTATCATTCATAAGATGAGATCAGGTCAGGTTATTTGGTCGTCACAAATTGACGAGGAATTTATCAAGATGCTTTTGAATAGTCATAACATTTTTTTAATCTACCGCTCATTCAGAAAGCTGTCTCATCACAAGAAGAACGAGCAAGAAACTTGCGTGTTGCTCTTTTAAATAATTTAGTTGTTTCTTTACATTTTTTAGTAGAAGTGTGTGAATAGCAACTAACAAATTGCAATAATTCAATTAAATAAAGTTACATTGAAGCACTTTTGAACAGTCATCACATTTTTTTTTAATCTACCGCTCATTGAAAGCTGTCTCATCACAAGAAGAACGAGCAAGAAACTTGCGTGTTGCTCTTTTAAATAATTTAGTTGTTTCTTTACATATTGTAGTAGAAGTGTGTGAATAGCAACTAACAAATTGCAATAATTCAATTAAATACTTACATTGAAGCACTTTTGAATAGTCATCACATTTTTTTTAATCTACCGCTCATTCGGAAAGCTGTCTCATCACAAGAAGAACGAGCAAGAAACTTGCGTGTTGCTCTTTTAAATAATTTAGTTGTTTCTTTACATTTTTAGTAGAAGTGTGTGAATAGCAACTACCAATTATCACTAATTCAATTAAATACTCAAATAGAGGAAATATTAAATATAGAACCAACTGGTTGAGTAACTAAATAAAAGTAAATCAGTCAACGGAGCTGAGTAATATGTGACGCAGACGAAGTTGCGAGGATCAGCTAGTGTTTTAATTTGTATGCAATATGCAACAAACCTATAGTTATCTATACATATAAAAAAAAATTGGAGTGTCTGTTTGTAATATACAAACATTTACTACACGCATATGAATATAAATACGACACGTACACCAAAATAACATTTTTAAAAATTTTTGTCTCTATGCCTGTCGGTTACTTGTTCCAGCTAATCTCTGAAATGGCTGAACCGATTTTGACGGGACTATTATTGGCAGGTAGCTGATGTAATAAGGAGTAAATTGGGCTATTTTTATTTTAGAAAAACAAAGTTAAATTCCACGCGGACGAAGTCGCGGAAACAGCTAGTTTAAAGTAAAGTTATATAATTGAATCGTCATTGAAATTGTATCAATATCACGTAGGAAGGCAAGGAAAGAGGATTTTACGTGATCGGAAATTGAAACACTATAAACTTACTGACCTGTAAGTCTATCATACCATCAAATTAAAAGGTACCCTACTAAATGTATAAGCTATCTAGAACCATACTAATATACTCTATGTGTTTTTATAGAAAAACTTTAAATCTATAGCACTGACAATATTATCTGATTACATTAATAATGAGTGCGTAGCGACTTCTATGTTGATTATCGCATGCCTCTTACTTGTTATACTGTAATTATTTTTATAAAAAAACATCTATTAAAAAGAGCAACACACAAGTTTCTTGCTCATTCTTCTTGTGATGAATCTGCATTCCGAATGAGTGGTAGAATCAAAATATGACTATTCAAAAGTGCTTGTAATGAGTTTATTTGAATAAAAATTATTTCTATTTCTATTTCTATCTACGGCATTGCACTCACTTTTTAAATTGGTCGGATTAACAACATTCGCTGCAACTTCATAGTAGTGTTTTATCGATAGAAATGATTTTTGCTGCCGTCATTCGATCTTACTTGATCGCATTTATTAAATTGAAATTATTTTATATTGCATCACAACTTCAACAGAAACAATTTCATATCGTGTTACATAATTAGCCCACTGATTACAACTGCCCATTCTATTATATTCATCCTTTCTACCACTAGTGCCTTAGTACCAGTAGTGCAGGAGTACAGTTCTATAGCCATATTTGCAAAATCTCTAAAAAGTAAGTTAAACAAAAGACGGCCTCATCGCTTAATTAATAACAATAATAATCATTTATTTCGTGTAGTATAGAGAGAAAAATATAGAAGATCTTAAAAGCTAATTTCGCGCTATGAGTCAGCCTCAAGGGTGGATCCAGCTTTGGTGCCAGGAGGGGGTCACATAGTCGTGGTCAAGTCAAGAACTTATAACTTATAATTTAATTCTGATAACAGTAGATACAAGTAAAAAGTAGGTATTTTATTAATGTACGTAAGTACTATACTTAAAAATATTTATTCTTTATTGTACACTTGAAAAACTTAATACTTAATAACTTGTACATATACACGTAGTGCCATCATCTGCCATATTGCCATCTTCTCTTGATGACATCCAGAGAAG